GGAGCCCAGTTCTTCAGGGCAGGGAGGCTGCCGAGGGGCATGGGTTTTATCCTCAGGGAGTGAGAAACCCTTAAACAGCTCTGCAGGGGTGACGTGATGGGACCTCACTTGTGAAGCTGCCCAGGGGTAGCTGGGTGGGGAGGAGGGGCAGCTGGACCTGGGGTGCAGGGGCCACAGAGCTGGAGCACTCGAAGGGGATTCTTGGGGATAGGGAGGCACCAGCAGGGACCCACCAGGCAGGCAGGTGGGCAGCTGTCCTGTCCCCGCAGGTGCACGTTCATCGGGAACCAGGACACTTATGAGACCCACCTGGAGACTTGCCGCTTCGAGGGCCTGAAGGAGTTTCTGCAGCAGACGGACGACCGCTTCCACGAGATGCACGTGGCGCTGGCCCAGAAGGACCAGGAGATCGCCTTCCTGCGCTCCATGCTGGGCAAGCTCTCGGAGAAGATTGACCAGCTAGAGAAGAGCCTGGAGCTCAAGTTTGGTGAGGGTGGGCACTGGGGCAGGTGGGGGCCTGGCCACTGCTCCAGGCACCAGTGACACCCCCTCTCCTCCTGCTCCTCAGACGTCCTGGATGAAAACCAGAGCAAGCTTAGCGAGGACCTCATGGAGTTCCGGCGGGACGCATCCATGTTAAATGTGAGTGGGCGGGGCTGCAGGGGCTGGGTTGTGAGACCCAGGGAAGCTGGCGGCCCTGGCAGGGAGGCCTCCCCTGGCCTTGGCTCCACTAGTCAAGATCAGGGGTCTGTGTGTGGCAGGGACTCCTGTCGCCCCTGCTCACCCCTGGCCCAGGGCAGCAGGGGCAGAGAGGCTGCACTGGCCCCACAGCAGCCCTGCCCACCTGCCCTCTGCCCTGCCCTTGGCCCTGCAGGACGAGCTGTCCCACATCAACGCGCGGCTGAACATGGGCATCCTAGGCTGTGAGTATGGGCCCGCCGCGGCTCCCACCTGCCCTCCCCGTGGACCCCTACGGGGCCTTCACTCACTGCTCCCGTCTCTGCAGCCTATGACCCTCAGCAGATCTTCAAATGCAAAGGGACCTTTGTGGGCCACCAGGGCCCTGTGTGGTGTCTCTGCGTCTACTCCATGGGTGACCTGCTCTTCAGCGGCTCCTCTGACAAGACCATCAAGGTAGGCGGAGTCCTACCTCAGTCTCCGCAGCCTGGATGGGTTGGGCACTACTGCATGCCTGGCACTGCCAGCCTGCCTATGGGTGGGACCTTCTCCTGGGCAGGGCTTTCTCCCATGGGTGGGGCTTTCTCCCATGGGCGGGGCTTTCTCCCATGGGCAGAGCTCCCTTACTCATTCCTGTCATGCTGCCCCTTGGCACCGGGCTGACCTTGCTGGGACCCACTGTGGCCCTGGTCTCTGCAGGTGTGGGATACATGTACCACCTACAAGTGCCAGAAGACACTGGAGGGCCACGATGGCATCGTGCTGGCTCTCTGCATCCAGGGGTGAGTCCAGGCACATGTGTGACCAGTGACTCCCAGGTCAGGAGATGTGGTGCTGCTACTATGTGGGCCGTGAGCCATGAGCTCGAGCCTGTGTAGCTATGTGTGTGCCCCACCTCTAGGGCGCCCTCCACCCGGAGCAGCACTGGCTCCCTGGGTAGCAGTGTGTGGGCCCTTGTGTGGCCTGCACCATCTCTGAAGTTGTGTGTTCCCAACAACTGGCATAGCCAGCCTCCCAGCAGAACCTTGTCCTGGCCCCGGTGCTCCTCGTGCAACCAGAAGATGGGGGGACCTTAGGGAGTGAAGGCAGGAGCTCAGCTCTCCTCAGCCTGCAGTCAGAGCCCAGGGCATAGGGACCACGGAGCAACTACCTTGGCCACCTTCTTGCCTCCAGGTGGCCTACCTGCCTCCTGTCTCCTGTCGTGAGGCTTTGTGGGAGCAAGCGTGTAAGCGTGTGCGTGAGAGATGCTCGCTTTCAGGAGGCGGCAGCTTGACTGCCAGCAGCCGGCCCTGGGATTGACTCAGTGCTAACGGGCGGGTAATTACCTCCCGGCTCGCTGTCAAATGCTTTCCAGGCAGGCATCAGGCTGGCTCACCCCTTCCAAGGTTCCTGTGTGGAGACTGGAAAATAGGCTGGAGCTTAGGGACACAGCAGTGGCCTTGGCCCTGAGCCACGCTGCTAGTTCCTGATGGTTGGCATGGACCTCGGGCCCTGCCAGGGCGGTGTCAGCAGGGACACAGCTTCTCCCACCGTGACACACTCTCTGCTTCCCCAGGTGCAAACTCTACAGTGGCTCAGCAGACTGCACCATCATTGTGAGTGGGGCCTACAGGCGGGTGGGCAGGAGGCAGCCCAGGCCTGCCTCAGTATGTAGGTGCCCCAGGGACGTGCTTCTCCCCATCTGGGCTCCGGACTCCAGACTTCAGGTGACAGGGCTTGGTGCCCTGAGGCTTCCGGTCCTTCCCCAATCAGGTGTGGGACATCCAGAACCTGCAGAAGGTAAACACCATCCGGGCCCACGACAACCCGGTGTGCACGCTGGTCTCCTCACACAACATGCTCTTCAGCGGCTCCCTGAAGGCCATCAAGGTACGGGTGGAGGGTGTGCCTGTGTGTGAGAGTCACTGAGGTGTCCCTTGCCTGCCCGGCCCACCATTGTAGCCATCCCTGCAGGTCTGGGACATCGTGGGCACTGAGCTGAAGTTGAAGAAGGAGCTCACAGGCCTCAACCACTGGGTGCGGGCCCTGGTGGCTGCCCAGAGCTACCTGTACAGCGGCTCCTACCAGACAATCAAGGTGCACCTGGGTACACCTGGTGGCCACAGGGCCTTGTCCCCTACCAGCACTTCCCAGACCAGCACCCAGGGCTCCATCTGCCCTGTTCCTACCTTCGCACATGCCCTGGCTGGGTGGGTGGGCTGCCCAGTGGTGGTGAAGCCCTGGGGGTGCAGGGGCCCTGGGGGTGAAGCACCTGGCCTGGGACCAAGTGGCCCACGATTACTCATAGATCTGGGACATCCGAACCCTCGACTGCATCCACGTCCTGCAGACGTCTGGCGGCAGCGTCTACTCCATTGCTGTGACAAATCACCACATTGTCTGTGGCACCTATGAGAACCTCATCCACGTAAGGCCTGGGCGTCTGGGTGCAGGGCCAGACTGTGGCCCCATCTCCCCTGCCTTGCTCAGTGTCTTTGACCTGCCTGTGCCCACCCCTCCCAGGTGTGGGACATTGAGTCCAAGGAGCAGGTGCGGACCCTCACAGGCCATGTGGGCACTGTGTATGCCCTGGCGGTCATCTCGACACCAGACCAGACCAAAGTCTTCAGTGCATCCTACGACCGGTCCCTCAGGGTGCGTGCGGGCCCAGCGGTGGCAGGAGGCTCAGAGGGCAGGCAGCTGAGCTCCAGCGGGCCCTCACGTCCCATGTGCCCCCAGGTCTGGAGTATGGACAACATGATCTGCACGCAGACCCTGCTGCGTCACCAGGGCAGCGTCACCGCGCTGGCCGTGTCCCGGGGCCGACTCTTCTCAGGGGCTGTGGATAGCACTGTGAAGGTCAGTGTCCATGGCTCGGGCCATTCAAAGGGGCTGCACAGGATGGAGCAGGGGTGGGAATGAGGAGCTGGCAGCCCCAGCATGAGGTGGTGGAGGGTAGGTATATGTGACAGGTGTGGCTGGGCCAGGGTGGCTGGCCGCAGGACACCTTGGTGAAGCAGCCCTTTCTCTGCAGGTTTGGACTTGCTAACAGGATCCAGGCCAGGCCATGGCTTCCCCTGGACCAGCCCTGGACCTGTCTGAGCCAGGCTGGCCACATGGGGTGGTCTCGGGGTTTCTGCCTGCCCTATGGGCACAGGTGGACAGGCTTTGGCAGCCGGGCAGTGCCCTCCCTGCCCAATGCTCGGCGAGCCTCCCTCTACTCGGCACTATCCTCGCTGCCCAGCCCCTCTCTCTGGGTGCCAGGTACGACGCTTGCCCCGGCCCACCCTCCATCCCCACCCTAGATGGAGCGAGGGCCTTTTTACTCACCTTTTCTACTGTTTTTAGACTGTGTGTAGATTTGGTTACTTCCTGGTGGAAATAAACACTCCACAGACTGTGGCTGTGAGTGGGGACAGCTCCTCGGGACAAGGGGGCTGTGTGGCCTTGAGGTTGGTGTGCATAGGCACTGGCTGCTGTGAGTGGGGGGGCATGGGGCGGTTTTCTCTGGTGGACCCCAGGACTTCAGCCCACTCTGGGGCCTCCCTGCTAGGAGGCAACTTGTCACACCCGAGCTGCTGGCCTTCAGACCCATCTCCCCCAACACATGTGCCCCCAAAAAGTGAGCCAGGCACTTCTGTTTCCTGCTGTTTATTGACAGCCAACGGCAGCGCCTTGCCCAAACCTCCCCTCCCTGCCTGCTGGAGCCCAGCCTGGGCCGCCCACTGAGGAGAGGCCTGGGGGGACAGCTGGGCACGTCCACTTACAGGGAAACACGGGGTGAGACAGCGGGAAGGGGCCCTGCAGGCACGGACGCCACCTCCGCCAGCCGCCTCTGCCCGCCCCACACCACAATCGCTGGTTTTCGGCATTTTTAAAATTTTTTTTTTTAAGAAACGTCAAAGTTGTGCCCAACACTGTGGATCAGCAAACACGATAGAGACCAGTCAGTACTTCTTGGAGGGAGCAGGGACAGAGAGAGGAAAAGGGAGGGTGAGAATGACCACACGACACAGCCTTGGACCATGAGCAGAAGCGTCCGTGGGAACTCCGGCGGGGTGGACAGGCTGCCTGCGCAGGCCCCAGAGGCCAGGCACGCCCTCAGAGGAGCTGCAAGCCCCTGGCCTGGCCTGCTACGTGCCCTGCTTCCACGTGGCCGCCACACTGACACACCCACATTCACCACACCCACCCGCGCCCCGATACAGCCACGCCAGGAGGAGGACATGGCCGCCAAGAGCAAGGCACAACCTCGAGTTCTTGGGGCGCAGAGAACTTAGGAGAGAAGCGCGGAGGAGCCCCCGCCTGAGCACCCGCCCCGGGGCCCCAGCCTTCCACCTGTGCTAGCGGCCTGGGGCCTCCACTCTGGCCGGAGGGAGGAAGGACCGCAGGCAGACAGCCTGGTCCTCTTAACAGCTTTTGTCCGGAGCTAGACTCTTGTCCTTTCAGTTGGTAAATGGTTTTCTATAGAATCAATAATATTTCTTTCTTTAAATATATATTTGTTAAAGTTATACCTTTTTGTTTCTCTGGGGAAATCCGCCTCAGCTCATTCCCAATAAATTAATACTCTTGATAGCTTATATTCTGGGGGTGCGGTGGGGCAGGGGGGCCCTGACCCTGGTCCCCTGTCCCTTGTGCTGCGCCTGAGCGGCTGACCGGGCGTCCCGATGGGCAGTTCTGTGCTGGG